TGGCAAGCCACTCCCACAAAGCAGGCCACACCTACAGAAGAGGTTCTAAAAATTTTTGAAACCCACCACTGATGTACAGTATATTCAGGAGTGGGAAATTGCCAGTTCGGACAAACCAATGTTAATTTTAATCTGGTTTGCTGAACCAGTAGTTACAAGGACCGGCTGACCCCGCCCACCCCTCCGAGGAGTCTCTATGTGGCCATTTGGGATTCCAGGTAAGTATAGGTCCCACATGGAGGCTCTGGGAGGGCGAAAAATGAGTCTAATGGAAATCTGGAAACGAGCCCATTTCCAGCCTTCAGAGAGCCTCCGGAGCCCAGGGGATGTAGTTTTCACCCTCCCGGAGGCTCGAGAAAAACCTCCGGAGCCTGGGGAGGGTGAAAACACACACACCGCTGCTGCTATGGTGCAGGAAGCCGACTTGGCCACGCCCATCCAGCAACCAGGCAGAGATCTGGTTGCTAATTTTTTTCAATCCCACCCCTGATATATATTCTCAGTATGCCAACTTTGGAAGTTGCGTTTCTGTTGAGATTGTAAAGATACACCTGTGTTGTCTTTTGCGTAGAAAATAATTGGTCTGTCCTATTAACGGATGGGCAGAATTGCAAATGGAGCTGCGCGTGGGCTTGTTGGCCGCTCCCGCTAAACCATTCCCTCTCCGTCCCCTGCCGGTCCCCAAAGCCGAAGGTTGGGGAACTCTGCCCTAAATGTACCAAGAGTCCTCTGTACTTTATAGGAGTCGGTTTCCAGGAGGCCACCTTACCTTTTTCCAAGCCTGCCTAAAGCTCTGTGAAACCTGTGTCCCAAATGAGACGCAGCCTTTGAAAATGAGGCTTGACCAATGAAGATTATAGAAGAGAATTATTGTCTAGGTATGAAAGCTGGATCTATTAAAGGCCGTATAAATGGATGATGATGATGATAATTGCTGTTTGTATTGATTGTCAAGCAAGAGCAGGTCTCCTGGGTGTGTGACTAGAGCAGAAGTGGGTTTGTGGGTTCTTAAATTATGGATAAGCTTTTTTTTTTTAATCTGGTACATGCTGCAGGCTTCGGCTCCCACCGGCAATGCTGCTTGCAAAGAACAGATGTTAGTTTCTTAAGGAAGAATTGCATCCTATCAATTACCATATTTTTCGGAATATAAGACACACCCTTTTCCCTCAAAAAAGGGTGAAAATCTGGGTGTGTCTTATACACTCAATACAGCATATTTTGCCTCCTGAAACTCCGCCCCTTCACCAAAATGGCCGTGCATAGCCTTTAGGAGGCTTACAGAGTGCTCCTGGGGGCTGGGGAGGGCAGAAATGAGCTTAAAATGGGCCGTTTTTTGCTCCCCCAGCCCCCAGAAGCACTCTATAAGGGCTATGCATGCCCTTTTTCTGACAAAAAACCGTTTTGGGGAGGTCTGTAGAGTGCAAAAACTTTTTTTTTATTTGCCTCTTCAAAATCTTGGAGTGTCTTATACTCCCGTGCGTCTTATATTCTGAAAAATATGGTACATGACACTCACCGATGTTTCCCTTACCTTTTCCTCCCTAAGAAAGCATCCTAAGGGACATGAGAAGTAGAGACGGAGCCTCTTTGTGAATCATTCAGTAGCAGGAGGCGGGGGGGGAATGTCCTTTGCTGCTCCAGACAAATGAGTGAAAAGGGACAGGGGATTTGCTTTTGACAGTGATCAGAAATGACAGTGCCACCTAGGCAGGCTAAAGTATGGCAGCTTCCTGGAAGCTTTTTCATGTAAGCAATGAAGTTCCGTGTTAGTACAGTGAACATAATCGGTTTCGGAGCGTTCTGGCGTGGAGAAGAACCACTGCTGCATAATTCTAATGGGAGCAGTAAAAGTGCCTCTCTTCAGACTGCTGATGGCTTTGGGGGAACCCAGAGATTTGATTACCTAAAAGGAAGCCTTCCAGACATTCGTTCGGAGCACTAAGGAGTGAGTCTGTGCCTGCAACAAAACACTACATCCATGAATGGTTCAACTCAAAACTTCCAGCCA